ATTAAATAGAAGAAAAGTTCTAATTAACTTACGCATCCAATAAAAGAGCTTGGCTCGTAAATGAAAAATCAATAATGACTCATGGAATTCAACAAGCGAACAATTAAAGATATTGATTTGATACACTTATAGAAACTTCGCATCATTTTAAACCTTAATATATTGCCTTAAAATATTGTCTCCTTAAAATATTGCTTTACTGAAGCATATTGTCAAGCAAATTATGTATGCAATATTTTAATAATTTTTACTATGGGATACTTTGATTTAACGTTAACGAGGAAAGGTTTAGTTAAAGACCTTTTATGCACAAAGAAAAAAATACTTTTAAGATTATGAATATAGTAAAATTTATCTTACTTGTAGCTCTATGGGAATACCAAAAAATCTCGGTAATTTTTACCGAAGCACTTCGGTAATGAATTAAGAAAAATTAACAATGAAATATGGTTTTATATTGTGCAATAAAATATGGTAAATGTCGTAAAGTTTGGTAATCTTATCAGATATCTTGGAGCATGGCATGAAGTCCATTTATTCGGCAAAATTAACTTTTCTGCTTAGCATTTGATACTAAATGTACAGTAATAAGAATTATTATTATGAAAAACAGTAAACCGTTACGATAGAAACGTAAGAACTACGAAATGAATTGCTGAAATATCATATGTTAGAGCTATGGAACCTCAAGATATATACCACTCGCTTCCCATTGAAGTGCCACCGGTTCGATTCCAGCGATGGCTGGTCAATACGAATTCCACATCTGGCTCAAACCGATTACCATAGTGACGTAAAATATCCGCAGTAGTGGACGGATCACGAGTTTGAATTCCCTTGCCGTTAGGTAAAACGTGGGAGATTCTCGTGGTTTCCCTCTCCATGGAGCGCCAATATGGTTTAGTTCCATTTAAAAGTCCTCCATGAAGGCAAATTTCTCTCAATACTTACTACAGGAGTTCCCTTATCTTTTGGATTGGGTTCAAAACTGCAAGGCTTTAGAGTTGAACATTTGTAGTCGAAAACTCAAAACTGGGTCTTCAGTTCATCTACGGTTTCAAAATAAAATGCCTTATATTATTGTGGTTTTATGAACTGGAATAAAGTTTTTTTTTCTTATTATTTTATCAGAAAATCGTTATTAAGCAATAATGTAGTTTCACCAGAATTTTTTTCTCCGTGCAAGTTGCAGTTAAATTTCTGAATATTATGCTTTAAATTATCAACATTATGATTTAAATTTTTTTGTCTTTTAAGACCCATTTTTTGAGATCAACTTTTAAACGAACCGATTTCTCTGAAAGTTTAGTTACATCGTTCGATGATTGAGTTTGAGTTATAGTTTCGATTTACTTATAAAAAATAACATTTGTAACACAAAGTTGCTTTACAGTTTTTTAATAGCGAAATAAAAATTCACTTTTCAATATAAGTTAAAATTAGAAGAAGTTGTGCAATCTGGGAGATTGCAAAAGGAGAAAAACCGGGGTGGGTGTACAGTATGTTTTCTCTCACTGCAAGTAGCTTTACTGCAGCAGTACTGGAGTGTCTATTTGAATAAGCAAACTGATTTTTACTATAGTCAGAGAGATAAAACAGAACAATTTAATTATGTTTGATCCAAGTAAGTGCCTGCTTTTTCTCTTAACTTCTATGGAATGTCAGTAGAGAAAATATCTTAATGATTTTTCATAAGCTTTAAACTTTGACTGATAACGTGTTTACCATCAGTACTTTCTAAAGGAGATCATCTTTATGAGGACATATTACGTTCAAAACAAAAAAGTGCAATTTCTGCTCGGTCAGTTTCAAATTTTAATAGAATATTATTAGCATGCTGCAGTCATTGCATAAAGTTTTAAAAAGAAATAAAAATTAGTTTTAAAATTGTAGCTAAAAGTCTGGTTTTTAATTGTTGGTAATTAAAAAGCTCCTTGTGAAGGAATTCTAATATTTGTAACTAAGTTTTCATCCAAATATAGTGATATATTTTTACATCCAAATATCCAAATATAGTGATTTATAAGCATCTAAATATTAGTGATAATGGTAACCGTATAAAAATATGGCATAAGTAGACATTAAATTTTTATTTTGTCAGCGAAAATTTCTTCAAAAAAACAATAATCAATTATGTTTGTTCAATTATTAAAAACTTAAATTAAGATATTGAGTTAATCAAATGTATTTAGAATTTAAGAAGACACATAAAAGATTATCTGATTTTTTTTTAATAACAATAAAACAAATACTGATGCGCAAGGAAATGTTTGAAGTTGTGAGAGCATTGGAAAATCCAATTAAGTGAAAAAAATTTTTGTCAACGAGAGCTAAATATTTATGAAGGGACTTATACAAATTTATAATCTAATAACTCGGTAAGTAAAACTTTGATTTAAATGTGGTTTATTGCCTATTACTTAGTAAAGCATAAATAATTTTAATATCTCAAAAACCAATTCAAGGGTTTTTCTCCTTCTGAACGTCCAATATCCCCTTAAAAACTACAGTAGACCGTGCAATCTCTCCTACAAAAATTAGAGAGTCACTATTTAGCATCGGCTGCTAAGTAAATACTACTAAGTAACTAAGAAAACTTTTGTTCCAGGCTAAAATAGTTCAAAATAGTCAAAAATTAACGATGGCAAAGTCTAGCAAGCATCCAAAAATCACATATCCTTTTCAGCAAAATTTACTGTTTTTCTGATTATTTAATTTTTGTTCATAATAAAATTTTTTAAGTTCATCTGCTATGTCTTTCATTGTTCTGATTCTTTACTCATAATATTGAAATAATCTGTTCTAATATTATAAAATTTGTTTACGAAAACCTCATAAGAAAGTAATTTAAGTGAAGCTGTAATTGTTATCGATTTATTTTCAGTTTTTATAAAAATCCATTTCTAATCCTCATAAGCGCCAAATCTCCTAATCTGCAAGAATAGATTGAGAAAAGGAAATTTCTTGGTTTCATTATTACAGTTGTTTCATTAAATTAAAGAAAAGAATGTGTGTGCAAAAACAAAATGGTAATTAGATTTCATCAGCGAAAATTTTTAGGGATGAATAAAAATAAAATTTCAATAAAAATTTATATTTAGAATATTTAGATAGTTTTCTTAACATTTTGTTCGAGTGTAAAGTGAAACCTTAATATTTGCAAATCATTGCTGCTATTTCTCTGTCTCTTTTCCTCTATTATATACTGTCCCTGGCTAAATTATTAGACGCACTATAAAATTCTATGTAAAATCTTAATTATCAGGTGATACTATACAGCCTTATTGTTTTTAATCTGTTTAAACCGGTTTGTATTTGCTTACGTTAGTGCATTAATTGGTTAACATTGTAATGCAATACGTATAAAATAAATACAAATAGGAAGTATACAAAAAATCTCCTGAATAAAAACCCATTTCATGTAAGTTTAAATGTAAAAATATTGCATGTAAACAAGTGCAGAGCATGTAATTAATTAAAAACTACAGTGCGTCTAATAATTTGATCAAATTATTTCAATATACTAATATAATACCTGATGCAGTAAATATTTTATTTTTATATAATACATCGTCTAATTTGTCCAATTGTCGAATTTATATTATGTAGGGTAAACTAACCAGTGAAGGAACACTTAAGCTTCGCTTGCCTTTTAAAAAATCATATTAATTTCAAAATTCATAATTTTAGTTAAATGACAGTGTCCACATATTTGCTACTAATTGCAAATTAAGTAAAAAAATTGTAGATAACCTACATAATATTGTTTCAAAGTTTTGGAGGTTCAAATAACAAGTAGTAAGAAGACCAAGAGAAGGAACAGCTCTTACCAGTGAAGGAACACAAAATTTCCCAGTAAAGGAACACTTAATTTTGGTTATTTTTTAATGCTCTTTATGAATTTATATGCCATACAAATATCTAAAAACAAGCCTATTCTTGAAATTTTAACATACAAATACTTAGAAAATGTTAACTTTTTTTGTAATCATTAATTGAAAAGTAAAGTGTCAACATATTAACACATACTGTTCATTCACTGGGAAATCTATGCCCAGTAAAGGAACATGCCTGTTCCTTCACTGGTTAGAAGTTATTTTTTGTATTTTTAACATACTTTTGATGCAAAACATCACTAAAGGTACAAGAAAATTAAAGTTTTTCTTTCATTTTCATTAACTTAGAAAAGACCCATTAAAAAGGAACACTTGTTCCTTCACTGGTTTTTTATCGTTTGGTGATCCAGTGAATAAACACTCCCTTATCTAAATACTTGACTATGATGCTTAAAAAAATAAAACGTAACTTCAATAACTATATTTTGAAGTTTTATTTTCACAGTGAGAAAAATAAAATTATTACGAATCAAGGTGTTGCAGAGATAATAACAAATTTAAAATTTTTCCAGAGAAGTCTATGTGACCAGTTAATTCAAAACAATGCTAGATGACTTCCTATTGTTTGGCAGTAAATTATTGTTACCAATCAATCTAAAGAAAAACTTTCAAATTCTTATTTTCAATCAATATATATGAAATGTTCCTTCACTGGGTATTTGAATAGTGACACGACCCACCCTATTTGTGTAGGGTTTACGTCAAGCAGAAAATGTACAATAAATAGAAATAAAAGTTACAGAAGTACCCAAAGGGGCAAACAGCCAGTCAAAAGACCATAGTAATAAAATCAAACACAATAAAATCACAATGTAATAAAGTCGAACACAAAAAAGTTAAAATTACTGAGAAGTTAAACACCATCGTAATGGAAAAATGCAGGTAAAACCGATATAAAGAAATTGTAAACAGTTGACATTGATAAAAAAAACCCATGAAAGCGTAAAATCAAGCCCCAGTAGAAAAGATGAATGACAAATTAATAATGAGTAACATAAAATCATTAAAGAAAAAACATTAAAAATGGAATAAAGTAAAACATTAAGTTAAAAGCCGATGAACTGCCTGAGACACCCAAGAAGTAGGGAGCGCAGGTTCCGGGTCTTATTGCCTGTCTCCGAGTACATCTTCCAGTATTTGTTTAATAATAGAGATGATAATTTTTCTGCAGGCCAAATTGACAAAACATTGGTGTTGATAAGAATTGGTAAAGTCATTGTCACGAAGTGTCCGGAATTGGGAACAACTAAAAATTATATGATCGATTGTCTGTTGTTCCCCACAGTAATTGCATTGAATGTTTTTATTAAAAAGTCTACTTTGATGTTCTCCGAACACTCCATGACCGGTTAAAAATTGGTTAAAATAAAAATTTGCCTGCAGTCTGTTTAGTTTTGGATCCTTGAAGAATTTAAAAGTTTGCCTGCCCTTCCCAGAACTCTGCCACTCCCGCTTCCAGCCACTCATATTGTGTGATTTGACCACGGTTTTAATTTGGGCATTGGAACTGGGGACTTCAATTGAGATGTTGCAGTCACTCGTGGCTTCTTTTGCTGCCCGATCCGCCTCCTCGTTGTCTTGAATGCCCGCATGGGCTTTGACCCAATTGCAATCAATATTGTCATGCCAAAGAAGTTTTATCTCTTCCACAAGTTTTGAAATGGGCTTTGGATTGTTTAGTGCTTGCAGCGAGGACAGCGAATCGGAGTAGATGGTTACCCTGGGATAATCCATGTCAGAAAGCCATTGCCTTTTAATTGAAATAGCCTTTTTAATTGCCACGAGCTCTGCAACATAAACGCTAGAGTTATTGGTGAGTCTGATGGAGGCCACCTCAATAGTCTCACCATCCAGTTTCGCAATCATGCCAGAGCCTGTTCTATCTTCCTTATCCTTAGTATTGGGGTTGGCAACCTCCATCCTCGAACCATCAGTAAAAATTTCAAGTCCCGTATTGGTTGGTAGAGACTTACCGTAGGGAACAGAAGGAAATGTGGATGGGTGAAGCCTAGATGGAGGACAGTCAGGACGTGCAGCCTGTAAAACAGCCCTAATATCCGAGTCAAAGTCTTCCAGTCGCCACTGCCACCTAAGTCGTTTGACACAAATATCATTAATTACTTTAAGGTGAATAGGCTCCACCTTCGCCAGTATCTGGAGGGCCTCTGTGCTGGTAGTTGCATAAGCTTTAGTTATGAGTATTAGCGAGGACCTTTGGATGGAATTTAATTTTTCATTGATCCGATTAGTATTACGATACCAGACACTGGCGGCATATAAAATAATGCGTTCTGTGGCCCGCAGGTAGATGGTTTTAAGCATTTTTGGCTTAAGTCTCCAGGTCGCCCTGGCCACCCTTTTAATAAGATTGTTAAAGTTTCCTACTCTCTCCTTGACCTGGTTAAGATGAGGTATCCACGTCAAGGCTTGGTCAAGTAAAATACCCAGGTATTTAAGAGTTTGGACCTGTTTAATTGAATATGTATGATTATTGCTCATTTTAATATTCGGTGGTCTTACGATTTTCTTTCTACTCTTGGGAAATGTGATGCAATACGTCTTTTTGTCACTAAATTTGAGTTTATAAGCGTTAGCCCATTTCGAGAGTTCGGTAAGACAGCGGGTGGCCAGTTGGTCAAATCGATATAAAATTGGGTGTCTCAACAACATAAAAAGATCATCCGCGAAAGCTATTAAGCGGCAATCATTAAAATCAACATCGATAAAATCATTAAAATTAATATGGTTAAAATGATGGTGTTGTGGCAAACAGTGTTGATATAAATAATCCTTCACTGGGTAGTGTTCCTTCACTGGTTGATTTACCCTGTCGTCGTCTAATTTAACTAAATGATACACGAACGTAAACAAGTGCAAACCATTTTGAGACACATAAAAACAATAAATTTGTATACCATCACCTGATCACCTGATAACTATGATTTTACATAGAATCTTATAGTGCGTCTAATAATCTGGCCAGGGACTATATATATATTGCAGGCCTGAAAAAAATCTTTGCCTCTATCGAAGCACTGGAAAAATCTTTTTTTCACTTTAAGTAGAACAGAAAAAAAAATAATTTAACAAAGTAGTTTAGGGGTGTTAATTGTAAACTAAATTTTGTTTTTAATAATATTAAAGATGATGCATAATTTGGAAAAAAATGTAGTGTGAGAAAGATATATATAAGATTGGGCCAGGAAAAAAATCAAATATTTTGAAATAAAATAACTGTGGAAAAATTACGAATTTGGGAAGTTGCATTTCTGTAAGAAGACCAATTAAATAAAATCGAGCAGCAGTGGCTCAGGGAATACAGCACTAAACTCCCAATGAGATGACCCAAGTTCGAGTCCCAGTTACGACTGGTAGATACGAATTCTGCTCCCGTATTGCACCAACCACATTACTGATATAAAATATAATCAGTGACAAACGGTTCAGAATCCTTTTCTCATCGTGCTATCCTGGCGTGGTTTTTGCAGTTTTCCTCTCCATGTAACTGAAAGTATAATAACCAATTTGTGAACATTAATATGTTATGTTTTAGGAGCGAAGTATTTAAAGTAGTTTTTCACACACACACATATATATATACATATATACTTAAATAGATGGATATAGGCTACGCTCTTTAGCATATACGATGCTCCACTCTATAATGCTACAAACCAACAATTATAACAGGGGTTTCCAACTTATATGAGGCCGGGGGCAACAATTAAAAACACAAAGCAAATGACGGGCCGCAACTTTATCAAAATTTTATGTAGGACTCTTTTATGCTTGAAGGAGCATTAAATATTACTGCCAGATTTTTACCAAGTTGTACAAAACAAAAGTATTGAATTACAGATTAAAATAGGAAGCAGATTTTTAAAAATACTTAATTGTTACTAGTAATATTTTTAAAAATATTAAATAAAT